ACACACACACACACACACACACACACACACACACACACACACACACACACACTTCCAACTGTTAGAATGATGTGTGTGTGTGTGTGTTAGGATCTAACACAACATAATCATGCATCATATCCTTCAGTGTCAAGCGGAGCATCCCCTTCCCCCGTCACAGCATTTGAATTCTGTTCACAGGTGGACTGTTCCCCAGGAACACTAAGGGACACAGGGACAAGCCTCTTACATTACAACAAAATGTGCAAGTGCATGTGTGCACATGGAAGACAGAAAATGATTGAGTATTTGCTGCCATGGTGACAAGCCCAGTAGTATCTACGGCAACGGGCTGTTGGAAGAAGGCTGCATTTTGTGGGAGGGGTAACGGGTGAGGATGGAGGGAGCCGAGCTAGATCGAGGGAAATGAACACTGAGTGCCTCTCACATTTAGCACTGCATTCACATTTTGATTGCATTTTAAAAATGTGTACAGAGTGACATCATACATTACAGTTTTAATGATTTTTTTTGTCAAACAGAAAAGTAAAGGAGGCTTGTTATGCCTTGAATATGCAACACCACAGCTCTGATCAAGTTTTACACAGTCTAGAAAAATCACAGCTACTGCAGTGATGGCTGGGAATGACCTGGAAATATAACTGATGTATTATCAGTCTTATCCTGTATTATTTCATTTTGTACTGATTGAATTTGTTTCTGTAGCTAAATCCTGTCTCCCCATCACTGTGTGTGCTGTGATATGCAGGTGGCAACAGGTCTGTTTTATCTGCTGTTTCCCTGTACATGGTTGCCATTGTGAAAGTTAAATTAAAAGTTAATAATTCTCCATAGTGGTGAAAAACAAGCTCTGTTGTTTCAGAGGTACAGCCTGTGTTGATCGCAGTGTACTCCAGTGTTTTGACCTTGTTGAAAAGCAGACATCACTGCAGAGGAAATTATAACTTGCACATTTTCTACTGAATGGATCTGAAAGCTAACAGAGCTTATTGACTCTCTCTGGTGGTAAGATTCTGTAGTGCATCAAACACTCTGCTCTTTCTTACAAAAACGTTGTATGTATAACTTTAAATATTCGCTAAGCATTAAATGAATCACTTCAACTACCAACTGCTTTTAAATAAATTCTGCTCAAATTTAAAATGTAAAACCCCAAAGAGACATTTGTGAGAGGGTTATGGTGGTACCACTCACTTACTGAATAAAGGTAGATCACCTAAAAGTGTTTATTATGATTTACAAAATTCATATCATTATCCAGAAAAAAAAATCACCTTTTCATAGATACAAGCATTATACAAATTTCAGATTTTTTTCATGAAGAGCTCTGCATTATTTCTCGTGCTATTCACAAAAATGTGAAAAAATAAATAATTTAAAAACGCCATTTCTTGTAATGTAAAAGAAAGTCCTGGATCTGCCCCCTGATCTGTACCCAGACCAATCAGCATTCATAATCTTGGTAGCTAACATACTATGAGACCTGATGAAAACCTAACATGGTGGAGGTAGGAATTAAACCACAATGCATTGTGGCTGAGGGGTAGAGCAGTAGTCCTCAGACCAGAGGGTTGGCAGATCAATCCCAGTCTTCACAATCTGCATACATTTAATGAATAGCCTCAGATATATTAATTAATGACTTTAGTGATCCAACAATTTTATTGCAACCTGTCAAAACTTTCACTCACCTGGTAGGTTTCCCTTGATGCCATGATTAAATTTTTTTATACACAACAAGGACTATTTTACCAAATACCTGCAAAACCATGATATCCCCATCAACATCAGCTGGACTGTAGTTTAGTGCTTATTAAATAATGCATTACGCAAACATGGTCAACATGGAAAACATCAATTTAGAGTCCTCATACTGAACATCATTCCTTACACATTTATTAATCCACCATTGCATAACAGGCACCTCAGTTATTACCAAATAATATAAGTGTGTATGTGACTGAATGATTGAGATTGTGATTGAATCTGTGCACAGGTTGGAATATGATATAATTCAAAAAGGGGTGTTGTCCTTGAAAAGGTGTCAACATGCAGCTCTCTGATGTGATGTAACTCCTAATGTGAAGCAGGGCTGTTGTCAAAGTGACTCAGACAGATGCAAAATATACCCTGCATAATAATTTTACCCAAAAGCTTAATTTATACAGTGTATATAACTGCAAATGCTTATTGTGAATTTTGTTTTTCTTTCTTTTCCTCTTTACCTGTTTAGGAGCATCATAAAAATAATATCAGTCATGTAAACAGGACTTAAAATGTAAAGTAAACTGAATAGGTGGGATCATTTAATCTTGAAGCCCTCTTATAGGACGTAAATTCATTTTTTTTAATATATGATTTAGAAGAACCCATAGACCCCTGTCCAGTCTCAAACTATTCATCATAAATATGTAAAGATAATGAAAAATATTATGTTTCACTTTATGCAGATGATTTTTAGCTATTTGGTTCGGCCACATTTCATCCAGTAGCATTACTTAAGTCCTACACACGGTTCATTCGTTTTTAACTAACATTTTCAACACTCCTGTTTAGAGGCTTTACCTTAAAACATTTCAAAGCACTTTTCCTCTCCATAAGTCTACAAATTACAAGGTAACTTCCAAGTATTCGTAGATTAAATTTTGGAATTTCACAGATGGAGACTAAGTGGCAGCTTTTGGTGCCCAACATTAAAAATGATCATTCAGTATGTCATAATGGAAATTCAAAGTGATGGCACCGTCAGTGTGAGATTGATTTTACAACCCACATCGCATAACACTCATCAACTGCTGATCCACATCCAATGGCAGGGAAGGACAAATAAACATCAGTGATGACTGATTGCATGTGAGGGTGATAAGGAATGTAGCAGAGAAGTTAAGAACCACCTAGCAAACATCACTGTCAAACAACTTGTGTCAATGGAAAAAGGTGGGTAATTCAGTTACGTCATGAGGACCGATCATGGAAAATTAAATTTATAAAACACCTGTTAACCATTGAAAGTTATAGTCATAACAGTGAAAACCTTGTGGTGCATATGAAGCCACGTGACACATGAAGACGCTTTTCTGCCAATTTCAAAAGCTTTGGAAATAATTTGTTTATATCGGATCATATCATTGTCAAAAAGTCACATGAAGGTTATCAGCTGTGACCAAATAAAAGAACAAGTTTGACTTTTCACTTATGCTGAGTCTTCATGCTTCTTCAAACACACGTCACAGATATTGCAGATATGGAGGAGGACCTGAGGAGCATAAAAGAGTCTGAGGAGCCTTAAATCGTTGTACAGAGACAACATGGGCAAGCTACTCATCTGCGTCGGTAAGCTGAGCTCCTTGTTCACAGAAACTTTTCAAACTTTGTTACAACACATTTAAATTCAGGTGGAATTATCCTGCCTCTTCATGCTCTCTTAAACGTTTTTCTTCTCTTTGCAGGACTGGCACTCCTGCTGCACGTGCAGCTAGGTAATTATTTTCTCTCTCCACTAAGTATTGCTCATGTATACTGAAGTTTGTAAACTAATGTCAGAGTGATTGTTCCATATACTGCAGGATCATCCTACATCCTCTCCTGTTATTTCACCAACTGGGGACAGTACCGTCCCGGAGCAGGCAAGTATTTCCCCACCAACATTGACCCATGTCTCTGTGACCACCTCATCTATGCCTTCGCTGGAATGGACAGCAACATGATCAAGACCTATGAGTGGGACGATGAGAAACTCTATGGACAGTTCCAGGCTCTGAAGAACCAGTAAGTACACAAGAAATGCTGTGACAGTGAGACTCCAGCACACATGGAAACACACATTACAGTACTTTGTAATGAAAGGGTTCTAAATGGATGTTTTTGTTGCTTGCAGAAACAGCAACCTGAAGACACTGCTGGCCATCGGAGGCTGGAACTTTGGTACTCAGAAGTAAGTGATGACACGAGGATCAATATTCTCACCAAGAGGATCTTGTAACACTTGCAGGAACATCGCTCTGACTGTCATCTTGACCTCCTCCAGGTTTACAGCCATGGTTTCCTCCCCTGCCAATCGTCAGACCTTCATCACCAGCGTGATCACATTCCTGCGTCAGTATGAGTTTGATGGTCTGGATATTGACTGGGAGTACCCCGGCTCTCGTGGCTCCCCACCTCAGGATAAGGAGCGCTACACTGTTCTGGTCCAGGTGGGTCTTATTGACACTCAGTTACCAGCTATGATGAATCCATGTTATAGACCAACACTACCATGGTGACATGTCACTGGCAAAACCTGCAAGTAACTGTAACATGTCAGGAAATCCTGTAGAACTGGTCATATCTCAAGAGTATATTCATAGAATAAACACTACAAACAACATCAGTCATGCTTTACCCGACAGTCCCTTTTGCGCTGCATTGTTATCAACTGTTCCAAGTTCAAACTGAGAATCTAGAAAAGAACAGAAAGTAAAATCCACAAACTTCTACGCCATGAAATCCATTTTACTTTGACAAATGTGCATTATACAAATCCTCATGTTAATGCACATTCAGCAGTTTCTCTCTAAATTACAGGTTTCTGTTTAATCTTTAATAACTGTCATCAATGTAAATGTGTACGGTTGAAGTCTCAATAGTAAATAATGGCAACAGACTTTGAGAGTGAAACATATCAATCAACAGATGGATTTATATACTTTTAAAAAACGTGTGACTGTTGCTGTTTCTTTCTCCTTGTCGATCTAAAGGAACTGATGAGCGCCTTTGAGGCTGAGGGCAAGAAGACCAACCGTCCCCGTCTGATGCTGACTGCTGCTGTCTCTGCTGGAAAGGGAACCATTGACTCTGGATACCAGATTGCTCAGATTGGCGCGTAAGTGTGTGTGCATGCAAACGTGACACACTCTCACAATTGTTGTATAATACGCTAAACATGAATCCCTTTGTCTGTTGACCAGTGTGCTGGACTACTTCCACGTCATGACCTATGACTTCCATGGTTCTTGGGAGCACAATGTTGGAGAGAACAGCCCTCTGTTCAAAGGACCCGCTGACCAGGGAGCCATGGTCTACTTCAATGTGGTGAGTGAAGTGACCATTAATTGTCTCTGTTTGCTGTAAATGAATAAACATGACATCAAGGAGTAGACATTCATGCTGGTCTGTACTCTCTCATGTGCAGGACTATGCCATGAACTACTGGAAGAGCAACGGTGCCCCAGCTGAGAAGCTGCTGGTTGGTTTCCCCACCTATGGCCACACCTTCCGTCTGGCTTCCTCCAACACAGCTGTGGGAGCTCCTGCCAGTGGACCTGGACCTGCTGGAACTTTCACTCGTCAGGCTGGTTTCTGGGCCTACTATGAGGTTGGGGCTTCTGGTTTTCTTCCATATGCAACATTTACTTAAATCTTGTGTGGATCCTTAACGTAAAGGTTCTCTCTGCCGTCAGATCTGCTCTTTCCTGAAGCAGGGAGCCACTCAGGCCTGGGACAGCACCCAGGATGTGCCATATGCCTACAACCAGGGAACCTGGGTTGGATATGACAATGTGAAGAGCTTCCAAATCAAGGTATGAAGTTGATTATAATTATTCACATACATACATTATTCACATACATGCTCTCCAAATGTTGTGTTTTTAACACTTGGTTTAACCTCTCATCCGCTCTACAGATTCAGTGGCTGAAGCAGAGCGGTTTCGGTGGAGCCATGGTGTGGAGTCTGGATCTTGATGATTTCAGTGGCACTTTCTGTGGCCAGGGAAGATACCCTCTGATCAACACCATCAAGAGTGGACTGGGAACTGGAGCCTGTACGCATGAAAAACACACCTGCCTGTAAAAATCGCAATGAGAATATTTCCATGTTTTACCTATTTTCATTTCTCTCCTCAGCTTGTGCCTCTCGTTCTAACCCCCTGCCTCCAGTCACACCAACCCAGCACGCTCAGCCCCAGCCCGGTGGTGGCGGAAGCAGTGGTGGCAGCAGTGGCGGCAGCAGTAGCGGTGGCAGCAGCAGCGGAGGATCTGGCTTCTGTGCTGGAAAATCCAATGGACTCTACCCTGATGCAACCAACAAGAACCACTTCTATGAGTGCAGCCAAGGAAAGACCTATGACCAGCACTGTGCTGTCGGCCTGGTGTTCGATAACAGCTGCAAGTGCTGCAACTGGGCTTAAATCATCCACGGAGGAACTGCATGTTGTTGGGTTAACATCTGGGTCAATAATCATGTAACATATGACCATCCAAGTAAGGCCTATTCAGGAACAGCTGTGTAACACCTGGCTCATAAAACCTGAATAAATATGACATTTAAAGCAACTTCACATCACTGGTGGCTTTGTGTATTCCATGCATGTTCCATTAAAAATCATTCAACTGCAAATCCGCAAGAGACATTAGTTTATCAATTATCAACTTTAAAGAACACACCTCAAACACTGTGTGAATGAGTGAGTACATGCACCAAACATTCATTTGTTGATGTGCAAAACTTTTAGACTAGACCATTATAATTACGTGTATAAGGAATGATGATTGTGACATGAGAAGTACTTCCTGATGCTAGTAGGTGGGAAAGTATGAAAACATGTAACTTCCTGTTTCCAGTGGGTGACGCAATAACTTTATTTGAATAGTGGCATGTAGATGTCTTCAGGCCAGGACTCTTATCAAACATTTTGGGAAAGAATGGACTTATATAAGTGAGCAGAGATGGGAAGTATTAAAGTACATATACTTTGTTACTGCACTTATATTGTCAGGAATCTGTAATTTACCTGAATGATTATTTTTCTGTTGACTACAGTTTATAAAAAGAAATGCTGCCACATACTCTCACCATTAGGCCTTTATTATTCAGACAGTGGTGAAAACAAAGACAGCACCATACGATTCATTTAGGTTTTTGACAAATGCCACAAAACAAACAAACCTTTACAAACCATTATATTCAGTAGTACATCAGTCCTGAGGTAGTACATGAAATCTGAGCTATTTTATCTCTTTGTGAAATTATATACTTATACACCTTATTTTTTGTCATTCTCATGTGAATCTGCTAAATTATAATTTGTGGTGTAGGGTTAAATCAGTTTTTTCAGTGTTACGTATTACGATATGCCTCCAATAGCTTTTTCTTAGTCTTCAAAAAAGTTTTAGGGTTAACACAGAAAGGATTAAACTGCTTATAATTATTACAAGGCAGATCCATATTGGAGAGTTGTCCCACATTAACCTATTCATACTGTATGTTTTTAAAAGGACATGAAAATACTATTTCAGTACTTTCAAAAGTATGATCTGGAATGAAAATAATACAAGGTATAGAATAGAAACTGTAATTTTTAGGGCCATGATGTCCAGCAGATGGAGCTCTTAAAAGAATGATGAGGAGAGATGCTCTGTAGCAAACAAGGAAGGAATGTATTAATAACAGAACAGTTCAAAAGCCAACTGCAATAACATCTTGAACTATGTAGACAGTCTGTAAAGTGACAGTTTGGACCTAATATTTAAACAATGAGAGACATTTAGTGAAGGTACATTATGAAGATAAAAGATATGACAGAATTTGAACCACTTCAATCTTTATGTAATTGATGAGGTAGTTGTCCTGAAACTTACAGAGCCTGAAAACTGTATAAACGATCACAGCAATGTGTACTTGTGAATGACTCCCTGTACACAATGACAACGGCAGCATTTAAAGATTTAAACTGTCTTTAAAGTCAACTCATGAGACAGTATAATCACATTATAACACTGTTCAATGGTTTTAGCTTTAACTATTAACCTGATTTGAAGAAAAGAGATATATGTCTTTGCGAAAAGTCAGATCATTTTTTTTAACTACTGGTTCTACATTCCTCATGAAGTTTTGACTTGATCAGAATCAGTGTCAATGTAATGAACAGGAATTTAAAAAAATAATAAAACTGTGTACCTGCATGTAGTGTTTGTAAAATGTAAAGCATTCTGAATGGATTTTACTACTACTACTTCATAATTAATATGACCTTGGACACAAGAAAACATGACACACAAATCAATATTAAAATTGCAATTGCAGTAACAATGTCATGTTATATTGGCTTGTTCCTTGTTGACGCTGAGTTCCTTTGCCGACAGCTTTCTTCTGAGTATCTTTCTCCTCGATGGATCTCCAGGTATGGATGCCAATCCTCAGAGGGAGTGCACGTTGTCTTCACACGCTGTTGAAAGTACAGTATTACACAAATAGAAATTACCCTGAATATAAGTACACACTTACACTGTTTTAAATTTACAGAACATACAATTAACAAAGACAATGTACGCACCTCCAAGAAGCCTCCCTCTGCTTTCATCAGCCTATACACAATGACAACAGGGATCCAGATAAAGATGGATGCAGACATGCACCAACCCAAAGTCAAGCCCCACTCTGGGTATTCGATTCCTCCATAGGTGGGGGGAATAAAGAATATCAGAGACCAGATGAAGATCACCTAAATAGACAAAGGAATTAATAGTAAATACACTGAAACATTCAATCATATTTATTGAGATCCACATGATGGCCCTCATTTCTCAAGGTGTTCTTGAAATATTCTTGAAGAATCTGACAGATGGATACAACATGCCTATGGCCACTGGCTGTTGCTGGTGCAGTCATAAAAATGTTAAATAAAAAATAGTTTCCCAAATAAATTTAGTTTCATACTATAAAGAAAAAAAAAAAGAAACTACTCACCAAAATTAAGCAGGGGCTGATCAGGAACCAAAATGTTTTCCACAACAGCCAGAAGCAAAAGCTCTTCTCCCCAACCATCATCTCAATGTCTTTAATTAAATTGTTTCCTCCTGCAATTCATGAGAATAAAAATGCGCAAAGGAGACGCTTTAGTGCAATGGAAAGGTTCTTCTTGCATTAACATTTGTCAAGTAATCTGTCAAATGCTAGCCAAGGTTTCAACAATGCCATGTTGTGTGTAAAAATAAATAAATCAGAATAAACGTAATAATCCTCAACTGATAAACTAATAATAAAGCATACAACTGGATATATTATATATTCTATACATATTTTTACATAATGTATAGAATATATTCATAATGCATATATTCAAACAAATCTGAGAAAAAGACCAGTACCACCATCCTAAGCAAAGGCTAGCTATGCAACTTAAACAAACAATATGTAATTTCCACACTAGGGGTCTTTCAATCAAAACTGAAATGTCCTGTTATCTGGAATTTAACTGAGGATTTCTTGAAAAAAATAAAAATTGTTTGGATAATGTAGCAGTACAGTAAATTCTCACTACCGCACAACATACAAGCAGTAGTCCCCAAGAAATGTACTACATTTATTATTTTTTGAATGACATTTGATACAAACTAAACACCTTGCTGGTTTTGGTCTTTAAAAGGGATTTGCTGACACTGAGAATACCCTGACCTCCCCAGCAAAGTATTTTTACAATAATTTGACAAAGAAGTAAAAAAGCTAACAATTTAGTGTACAAGCAAGGTTCATAACTACCTTCGGCAAGTAAATGTCATTAAAATCATTGTCACAGACAGTGAGTATGATAAACAACTTAGTTGGTAAGCACATACTGTACAGTAAATACAATCAAGCAACTGAAGTTAAGATTTACATTTACAGAACTGGTACAGTGGGAGTTTTAAACCTGTCTGTTTGGAATGGGCTGTTAGCTTTGCCTGTCTTAATTATCTGGAGTCCTCTCCACTATACTGTCACTTTTTATTGTTTGTACTAAGACCTTTATCAAAGCAACTATGGTGCAGAGTGAAGTTAGAAACATTTGTGTTCATCCTACCTGGTTTATCTGCAATGAAGATTTTATAGTGAATGTGTAATGGAAAAATTTGCATATTACCTTAGCTTGAAGTCTGATCAATGCTTGTGTGCTGTGTTCAACAATAACTCATCTAGAAACAGTTGTGCTCGCATAAGAGGAACTGTCTGGCAGAAGCAAGAGCAGGCAGCTTCCTGTTTCAACCAGACTACAGGTGGCTTCAGTTTTCATGCTATAACTAGAAACAGTTGTCTCTTATGTTTCCTGTTTAACCTTCTCCTTTCACTATTCAAGGTGTTCCACTCTGAGCATGCTGAGTGTGAAACCCTCTGCAGAGCTTAATTAAAGACCCAAAGATAATTCTGGTCTGAAAAACTCTTCACATCTCGAGATAAATTTCCACTACAAATGTTTTTCATAAAATTAAACTGAGTTTGTTTAATTACTGCTAACATGTATGTACCATACATGTTAGCAGTACCAAACTGCAGCACCATAAAAACAAACAAAACAAACATGCTCTTACTTTGAAGACAAAGGTTTTATGAATGTGCACCTGCTGCACCTGTGAGTGTTTGTATCAGTTTATATGGTGAGATGAAGTAATCTTATTATAAAAACAATCTGGTGGCAATTTGGACGTGAGGTCTGAGGCCGTTATCGACTGCTGCTGTGGTTTATCTGAAGACTGAAGCACCAAATTTTACACTGTACGTCTCTGGGCATTAATATGCTACTTGTTAAGACAATAAGATGTGCGGTTGACGCAATATGTGTTTCACAGACAGACAGACAGACAAACCATAGTTGTGGTATATTTACCGTATATGTAGCAGAAGCTGAGGATCTCCATAAAAGCCAACATAAGCAGCACCCAGCTACCAGCAAAATGGTCGATTAGAGTTACCCAGTATATTCCTGCCTATTTAAACAAACACAAACACACACACACACACACACACACACACAAAGAGACAGGCACCATAGGTATGCAGGACAATAATGTCAATAAAAGCTTCAAGTAGCAATAGTCGGGACCTCGCAGTTTGTGCGAGTCGGGGTGCGGTGCGGCTGCTCTGTAATCCCTGGAGGTTGGTTGACACAGCTTGGTAATGCAGAGTTAAGGGTCACATCCTGCTGTGGCGTGCATTCCTGTTGCTGGTAGGTGGTGCTATGATTATGTTTAATCTTGGCATGTAAATGTGGTGGTGCCAGGTCATCAAACATGCAACAAGTATTAGCACAATCTTTCATTGTCGAGGTTGTTTGTTTACACTGTCAATCTGTCTAATCCTCTAAAAGGAGATTGTTAAAATACGATGTGTGTGAATCATAAAAAATGACTTTTTTGTATGTCGATATCGAGTCACTTTGGCACGCCCATGTGCTGAATCTATTTGATTTTTGATTTTTTGCAAAGTTTCAGCAAATTTTACGTATGTTTTGGCAGCAGCGGTCACTGCTTCAGCCCGAATAATTTCAGACAGTAGTTGTTTAGTCTCTGTTGGCAGATCTACTTTACCGTTGTTACACATGGCAGGCCCAGGAGGAAGATGATGACACATATCGCTAGAGTCAACAAGGGACGTTTGGATTTGAGGGTTTCAGGGAAGGCATCAGTTAAAAAGCTGCAAATCACCTCTAACAACAAAGAGGAGAGATGAGAATTAGTGAGTAAACTGAATAACAAAGACTGGTTATTTGCTTCAACACAGATCCTATAGTTTAGAATCAAGATATATGCCAGTTAGCATGGTATGACAGCAGATCCCTTCCACTGTTAATGTTAGTCTCACCTATCATTGTAAACTGAGTGTCCAGGCCAATTATGGAAAGCATGAAAAAGAACAGTATCGACCACAGAGGGGAAATTGGCAGTTTAGCCAGAGCATCTGGATATGCAACGAATGCCAGGGTAAACCCTGCAAAGATGAGGAAACAAAACATCAGAGAACATACAGCAGCCATTTTACATCTTATAAGTACAATAAGCAGTATCATGGGTATCTGACCTTCCTTCACCACTTTTTCAACCGGCATTCCATAGACGTGAGACATGTGACCCAAAATCGAAAATATGGCAAAGCCTGCATACACACTCGAACCTAGAGAAATTGAAAATAGACACAAAATGAAAATGTACATGTACCTGGTCAGGGACAAAATATGACATTGTGTACAAAGTGGCATTTACATTATTTCTTAAGGGCTTTTATCTTACTATAGTAAATAAAAGCAGTAGCTGAAAGACATTTTCCTGTAGAAAGTAAATACTATCGCTTTAGGTTGCCTTAGTGATTCATCTCCAAACATCCATATTTATCGATCGACTACTATCTAACGTATCTACTACCTTACTGTCACATCTTAGCAGATTTTTTCTCAGTAAAGCTGCAAAATAAATGAACTTGCTTTAAATCACTGGTTCATCTGAAATATTTTTTTTCCCTACCATGGTTAGTAAGGGATGCAACAAATGAGTCCGCATACATCTTGTTGTGGAACGTGTTATAGGAAGCAAGGGTTGTAACTCCTCCCATACCAATGGACAAGGAATATAAAGTCTGAACTGTTGCATCCTTCCAGACCTGAAATACAACATATTCTAGAATAGTGATTTAAGAAGTATATAAATGCTTACTGGTTTAATGTGATTGATAGATTCTTACCTCTGGTTCCATCAGTTTAGTGAAATTGGATTGTGAACCAATATAGTAAGATATTCCTTCTCCAGCTCCCTCCAGTGTCACACCTCTGATCAGCAAGATCAAAATCACCACATAAGGCAATGTAGCGGTGAAATATACAACCTGCAGAGACAAACATCTGAAAATCTCCCACTGAGCTGACCACAGAGCAATGCAAGTGCCACAGTGTGAAAGAAGTACATTGATCAGAATGCAATCAGCACAACTGCCCAGACCATTTCTTTAGTATATGATGTATCAAGTTTCCACTGCTTCTTAGAATGAGTGTATAAACCATGAAGAATTTGATTTTCATAAACTGGGATGAGGACATTTGAAGAACTAGCTGACTTACTTTTCCTGATGACTTGATACCTTTACAAAGCACTACAGCAACAAATATGGAACTCAGCAGCAGACAAAGGGCCAAATGCCAGACTACTGGTCCTGTTTCATCCAGACCACTGGATCTCTGCAGAGCCACACGACTGAGGAAAAGAGAAATCTGACTGTGAGGACATCACAACACAAAAATGTGTTTATGCTTGTTTGCATGTGTGTGATTCTTACTCCCAGTACTGTTCACTTGGACTCTGCACTGGAAATGTGATCAGGTCAGATGAAGGACAAGTGATGTTTTCCTGAGTCCAGTTGGCCACTAACACACCACTTACATTACAAGACACTGGAAAAGGAACAGGGACTTGTGAATAGCCTGTTTAAAATAGACATGTCCATGAGAAGCAGTGTTTAACTTACATGTCTCTATGACACCTTTCAGACCTGGTATAGTAACATCGATCCTAACTGATCCGATCACAAGTGGTCAGCTCTACGTCTTGATGCAGCCAAATGTGTTCTAAATGTGTCCTGACATCCATTCCCTCATACCACACTCAGACCACATTCATTTGTGGTGCACATTCTGCACTCTTCACAAGAGTTAGAGATACAAACCTCTGGGAGTGCTGCTGCAGTCACTGTCAGCCCAACTGAGGCAGCTAGCCCAGGGCAAAGGATATTGGAAGGAGGCAAACAAGTAGTACAGGCTGTAGGTGATGATGACATTATAATAAATTGCCACCATTACGTTTGTCATGAGTATGGAGAGGCCAACACCTGGATAACAAATAGAAAACAGAAGATGACAGATTAAAATGCAGTACAACAATTTTGTATTTGACCCTACTGAGCCCTTTACATTCATTTTCCATGCAGCAGAAGTAAAACAATTTTGATTGTTAAATCATTACAATTTCTATCCTACAAACCTAGGTTTAATGACCTGTCTGTGAAGACACCAACTCATTCAGATATCTAAGGGAGTTCTAAAGCTAAACATAGGCAACCGGACTCACTTGAGTTTCCTAAAGAAGTTCCGACCTGAAGTTGTCTTTATGACAAGAGGTAAATGGTCTTGACGAAACTCAAGTAAGTCCAGGGCCAGATGGTGTCTCTGCCTTGACATGTGCAGATTAATTGACATCTGCCTGGAGCCCTATTTATTAATGGTTCTTATATTACCATACTGTACCATCACAATCATCCCACCCATCCTTAAGAAAGCCTACCCACAGGAGAAGAATGATTTCAGCCTGATTGCCCTTATCTATTTTTCCTTCCAGGGAAAGGCTCTCCCATCCATGACCTTTCTATTACCATTGACCACTCTGTGGTAACCCCCACCCTGACCACTAGGAACCTAGGTGTGACCCTCAACAGTCAAATCTCCCTACTGCCAACATTACTGCAACAACTCGCTCATGGTAGATACATGCTGCACAACATCAGGAGAATGCGTCCCCTTCTCACTCAGAAGGCAGCAAAGGTTCTGGTCCAGGCTTTGGTCATCTCACACCTAGACTATTGCAACTCCCTCCTGGCTGGTCTACCTGCTAGTGCTATCCAACCTCTGCAGCTCATCCAGAATGCAGCTGCTCGACTGGTCGACTGGTCTAAGTTCAATCACACTACACCACTCCTCTGCTTCCTTCACTGGTTACCAGTGGCTGCCCGTATTGTTTCAAGACACTAGTACTTGCGTACCATGCTGTGAACAAATCGGGCACCCAGGATATGCTTAAACCTTACACCCCAGCATGTCCACTCCATTCTGCATCTGCAAATCAGGCTTTCTTACCATATGTCACGATGAAGTATACGGACAAGCTCAAGGGAGGCAAAAAACAGCTGGATTTAGGCCTACAGCTAGATCCCTTTCCGTTTGTATATATAAACATCAGAGAGGCACAGCTGATACAACAGTATCATACACAAGTATCTAAACATGTTGAGAATCCTAGGGCCCATACTGAACTGGAGATTGTTGACCTCAGCTCAGCTTTTAACACCCATCAGCCACATGTTATCCTGAAAACACCGAATGAATGTCAACCCTGTCATTATCAAATGGTTTAACTCATTTCAGACCAATCGTACTCAGCAGGTCAGGGTAAACAGTATCGAATCTGAACCTTGGACCATCAGAAATTTGTCCAGCAGTGCAAAAAACAAGTTCATGCCATTAACACCAAGAAAACTGAAGAGATAAGATTCAACCCCAAAGCTATTGGCGACCAGTTATCGTGGTTAATCATAGCTAATGCATATCCCAGTTTTACTGTTTGACCCAAGGCAAGTTTAAAATAAACTGTCATGGAATACTCAGATCGGAACATTTCCACGCTAGGGTAGCAAACTATTTCCCACAATAGCTTGTCATGAACATTT